GTGGAGCCGGACACGCCCCCCCACCCGGGGCTCGGCTGCTGCGAGCGCGCGGGGACCGGACTGGGGACGGTGGAACAAGGAGCGTTGACCCGTTTTCGAGAGCTGAGAAGTTTGGGCGCGAGGAGAAGAGTCAAAATCTCCCCGGGGAGGCCTTCGTCTCCGCCGCTCACCCTAGGATGGGCAGGGCTTGTTGGATGGTGCCCCAGCCCTCCGTCCTCGGTTCGGGCCCCTGGTGAGGTGGAGGTGGACGCGAGGCTGTCTGCCAATAATGCTTACTCCTCGAATCCTCCGTCCGCGTTTCCTAGGCTGCATCTAAACCCCGACAATCGCTCCAGCTGGAGCGTTTCCGCCAAAGCCCTGGAGCGTTGCCCCCCACCAGATCTCTTGGGTCTGTAGGGTCCGCAGAAATCAGATCGCGGGGTCGTGAGTTAAGGAACAAACAGGCCCAGTGCAGACACGTGTGTAGTCTTTACTTTCCTACTTACTTCGGGAAGTTACCCGTGTCGCTGCCTTCTCCTTGTGAGTTCCGCGAGGTCAGGACCTGCTTGCAGTCCTTTGCCCCAGTGCCGGCCTTGGGAAAGGCACTCGGTAAATGTTTGTTCACTGAATGAATGAACTAGCCAAAGGTCTGGACGGTGGTTTGACTAGTCCTGGGTGGTGCTTTGGGTGAATATGAGTCACAATTCATTGCTTCATCAGCTTGAAACACTGATAAGAGGAGAGCAACGTATTTGAAGAAAATCCCAGAGCTTCCTTCCCATTTTAGGATCTTGAGTGGCAGTTGAAACACTCATAAGTAAGATGAATAGAAGTGAGAGCCTCTTTCTGCTCGAGGAGCTTGCAGCCTAGTGGAGGGAAGGAAATAACAACATCAACAAAAAGTAAACAGTATCAGGTCAGTGTAGCTACTATGCAGAAAATGGAAATAAGGTCATGTGATAGCACATGAGGAGGTGGCTTCTGTGGATTGGGAGATCAGGGTGTTTCCAAGTGAGTGACATTTAAAGCTTCACTGACACGAAGGAGCTATGTAGGAGGGGGCAAAGAATTTTTAAAAACGGAAATAGCCAGTGCAAAGACTTAAGGCGCAAAATTCTTCAATTTCAAGGTGCAGACAGGCTAATATGGCTGGAAGGTTGTGAACAAGGGAGAAAGTGGCATGAGCAGAGGTCACAGATAGCAGAGAGGTAAATGGTGGAAAACATTGTGGGCTAGAGTAAAGTTTTCAAGCTTTATTCAAAGCCCAGTGAGAAGTCATTGGTTGGAGGCTTTTGTTTATTGTTTTGGCAGCACTGGGGATTGAACCCAAGACCTTTACACTGAGCTATATCCCCAGCAGGTATTTATTTATTTATTTTTAATTTAAAAAAATGTTTATGAGCTTTATTTGTTTTTTGAGACAGGGTCTCACTATGTAGTTGAGACTGACCTGGAACTCACTATGTAGCCCAGGCCAGTCTTGAACTCACAGTGATTCTCCTGCCTCAGCCTCCTGAGTGCTGGGATTACAGGTGTGGGCCACCACGCATGGCTCCTATTTATTTTTTGACACAGGTTCTCACCAAGTGGCTAGGTTTGGCCTGAACTCATGATCCTCCTGCCTCATAAATGGAGGGTTTTAAGCAGGTGAGTACCATGATGCTATGGTCACTTTGGGAATGATTATTCTGTATCCTCAGAGCAGGTGGACTGCAGGTGGCACCTGTTAGTAGAAGGAGGCAGAGAGCAGTAGGAGGCTGTTGTTGTGGTCAAGGTAAGAGTTGATAGTGGCTTACTGATCTTGAAGCCCTGGAGATACAGACCAGTGGTCAGATTCAAGCTGTGTAGGATGTGCTATCCTTGGGCCTTCCCAGTGGACTGGATGCAGAGTCACAGATGACTTTTAGAGATCTGACTATGAGTGGACAGTGGGCATATTGATGAGATAGGAAGGCTGGGAGAGGAGCAGGTTTGAGGTTGGAGAGAAGCACTGTTGGCCATGTTCTGTTCAAGATGTGGGTATATCAGATAGGTGCATGGTTATGAGACCTGGAGGAGAGAGGAAGAAGAGATCCATTCAGGTCTAACAGATGTCATTCAAGACTGTGAATATAATTGTAATTACCGAGGATCAAGATGGACAGAGAGGAGATGACTTATGTCTTGGTACAGCACAGTGTTT